TCTTGTGCCTTCGTGCCGACCGCCGCTCTGCCCCGTCGAGTTTTCTGATACGTTTATCCCTCTTACCCTCTCTTCTCCCCTTTCGGCTCCTCGCCGCTCGCCTACGGGGTCGTCGCCGAACGTCGACCCGAGTCCACGCGCCTAGTCGCCGCGACACTGATGGGATTGATCCGGAGTTGATCTTTGCGGCATTGGAGGGTTAGACGGGTGCACAAGGAGGGAGACAGTCAAGAAAGAGAGTTGTGTTCGTACATACAGTAGACGGAGAGAAGGTCAGGTTCTTGGTGGGGCATCTTGAGGTTCTTGGTCAAGTTCGTCTTGAAGGTTGTTAAACCAGACATCGTCAGGCTCGATGCCAGTCTGTATGTGTGTTACAAATAATGGAGGGCATGCCATCGAGAGCAAACAAAGTCCTTACTCGATCAAAGGAGTGCACAACCCAAATTGGGGAGGCCGGGCCGCGCACGTTGCTCGCGATGGGCACAATGGCAACCGCGGCTGAGAGACAAGATGTGTTGACGACCTCCATTGGGGCGAGGCGATCTGCGTGCACGACATACATCCCTAGTTCAGTGGAGCTGCACCCTCGACATGATTTAGTAGCGCAATGAGAGAAAAATGAAAGATACTTACTACATGGACCAGGGGAAAGTTGGCATGTCATCGTCAGAGGTCGTGCGTTGTACCACAGAGCAGAAATGGGGGTGTAGACTGGCAATGGTGACCTCGAAGTGATAGAGAAGATGGAATGGAGTCCGACAGTCAGGGAAGTCAACGCACCCGTACGAGTCAGCTTGTGTACGACTGTCCGCAGTCGAACCAAAGCGGAGGCCATCTTTGCATATGAAGGGGAGGAGTTTTGCTGAGCCGTCAGCTAGAAAGATAGCATCGTGGTCGCAAGTGTTGGTCATATCGTCAGCGATAATAAGAGTCGGATTTTGGGTGCGTATGTAGTCCAGAAGGAGGCGGTATATGTTGGAATGGGGAAGCTGGCGCAGGTTCGTTGGTTTCTTGACGTGTTTGGGTTTCAAAATGATTGAAGAGCTGCGCGCGAAGACCGCGATCTGTGTGCGCAGCGTCCCACGGACGGCACCCTGTTCTGTACAGATGCGATCAAGGAGGGCATGTTCTTCCGGCGTCGCATCAGCAGGCAGTGCAGATATCTAGCAGGCGGTGAGAGTGCGGGTCGGAAGTTATAGAGCGCACGCGCCACTCACCAGCTCGTGAAGGCGATGTTTTGTAATCCAGTTGCGCATTAGCGAGAGCTCCATCTCGCCATCTGCATGTCCGTTCATATTCACCTTCTCAAGGGCCCCGTTGAAGCGTTCGTGCGCAAATAGCCACCACGCGTAGACCGGCCCAAAGAGTCGGAAAAATTGGGGGTAGTGCATGGCATAGTGGAAATTCGGCACTAGATGAACCCCGAGCATGACCATCTCCTTGCAACACCACCTGAGAAAGTGATGTCCGTGTTGAACGTCTTCGTGTGATATCGCTTTTGCCGCTAGGATGCGCTCTGCCAATGATGCGTACAAAAAAACACGGTATATCTTGATAAGATCGCGGTCGAAAGTTGGTTTGTTCTTCGCATTGGGAGGGATTTTGGGCGCGTGCCGCTGGATCTTGTCGTCCTCCCCTCTCCATACCAACCAGAGCACAGTACATTGAATGTTCACCCAGCGTCGCCACTGGTCAGCCTTCGGAAGGCCACGATTTTCTCCAAGCTTCTGTTGTTAGAACATATACACCTCTTTACATTAAAAAGAAAACGCACATTTGTCGGTAGTCGTCCTATCCCAGACGGCCATTGTATTGAATTGACCGCAGCCTGAAGTTTGCACCAGCCGTCCGCATCGAGTAGGTAGCCTCCTATCAGTAGTTCATTGAACATATGCGACGCCATGCCTCGGAATGCATCATCAGTGCGTGTAGTGGAAAGTATAGTACATGAAGACAGCGTATCGTAATAATTATGCATGAAATCAATCGCTGATGTTGAAACTGGAAGCCACCCGGTTAGCTCGTCCATCACTGAGTATTGTTTACCTGTCTTGTCTAGAATTCTTTTGCGTTCGGCTTTGGAGGTTGCCGTTTTCGCCCGAAACGACGCCGACAACATCTCCCAGTCATCCCGCAGTGTGAACTCTGTAAACCAAATGAGTATATCGAATGAGCGTGTCAAAAGCACGCACTCTCGCAATCATATCCGGCGTCCGTATTCAAATCGGCATGCACAACTTTGCAGTACCCGCACAAGTGTGTCTTGTGGCTGTGTGACGCCGTGCCTTTGAGCTTGCTTGAGGCCGGCGCATCGCTTGTGTGGCACTCAACAGCTCCATGCATTGGTACCGGGCTCGGCTCTCCAAAGACATTCAGTAGAACCCCTGTAAGAGCGATGTGAGCGGAGATAGGAACGTTGCACCAAACTACTTAGCAGAGCCGCGCTCGTTCGGCAACACCTTCAACAATTGTGGATGCAAGCCGCCTCTCTGTCCCACGAGGACACTCAGGACGACGACCTCTAAGGAGTCACAAACCTGAGTATATACTCTTCAGCTCCTCGACAACAGGCTCAAGCATGTGGTTCAATTGCTCGAGGCTGGGCTCGTGGGGCCCGGGGATCACTAGTAGAAGATGTACGTTTCGCTGGAGATATCGCACAGAGCGATGCAGATTGTTGAACGTAAGGTAGACCGCACCAACTGAGTGCGGCCGTCCCTCTGTCACCCCAAACCTGTGAAAATGTCATCCTGCCGGCCCAACTGAACGCGGTAAGACTCGCTCACCAATCAAGGTTAAGGGTGAAACTCTGTCCGTATCGGACAGAGCGTAGTGTACGCCGCGCGCCTGAAAAAACTTTGATGTCTTGAACGCTCCCATCTTGATGGACCGTGCGCGCGTGATCGAGAAGTGTTGAGCGGTACGCCTCCGCATCGTGAAAATCGTACATGTATTCATTTTTCCCTAAAACGTCGTGAGGTGTGATATCAGTAGTCCTGTCCAGATCTCGAACAAACTCTTCTCGAAGGAAGAAACGCGGAAGGACCTTGAGGAGGGGAGCATAGGTGGCGACCTTTGCAGGCACCCGTCTGAACGCCCGATCGTCTTCTTCCATGTTTAATGGTCCGCTGCGCTTGCGGGTCTCGTTGTATATGATCCCTGGGCATCTGTGTACTGTACATTGGGGGGATTCGAGCGCCATAATATTGTCAGTTGAGTAAATTTTGAAACATTTTGTGCAAACCGCTTTTGTCTCAATATAGTCATTGACGTTGAGACCGAGCCGCTTGCGCGCAGTCACCAGAGAGCGCGCCGGCTTGCGAGGAGTGGTGGGCAATGTTCCGAGGCACAGTTGGATGACCGCGAGCTCGTCATTGAGTCGTCTCTGAGCGTCCAAGATTGGAGAGTGCTCGAAGACATTCGCCAGCACGGAATGAAGGTAGGCGAGGCGGAGGGGGGGTGTTTCCTCGAAGGCGGGCACCAGAGATGACCCGTGATAATCTACAGTGAGGTCCCACAGGGCCGGAGGTTCCGGCAGGTCAGGCGCGAGGTCACCCAGAAGTCCAGGAGATGCAGGCTGGGACAGTGCAGGATCAACATCCAACTGTCCCATAGCCAGATCTGCGTCATCCCACCCCAGAGGAGAACCAGCCTCGGGATCGAGAGGTGCGTCCATGTCATAATTCAGCCCAGATGAACCATGATCATCATCAAGCACAGGCGACGACGCTCGAGAGTCATGGCCGTGAGATGGACCACTGTGAACATCATCAGCCTCACTGGAAAAACCAGCACTCATGAGGCCAAGTCGTCAGACATCATCGACAACGTGAAGGCACAGATTCGTGACCCTGGAGGTCGAGTCTTCCGACACTGATGACAACGTCTACGCCAATTGGCACGACCTCGAGAGCGAAATTCTCTGACACGATTGACAATGTCAAGACGAAGATCTACAACTTGCGAGGTCACCTTGTCCGACACCATCGATAGAGCACTCACCTGAGTGCTCCGCCATCCTGGCCAGCGACATCAGTGATGGACTGATCTTCGCGCGTCCGTGCATGTAGACTGCTCGATGGCTCCACAGGGCCACTTTGCACCCGTTCTTGAACCTCCCCTTGAGGCGCAACCCTCTGGCTGCTGGCCTGCGCTGCCGCGAGTCGGCGTTCCTTGCGCGCGTGGGCCGCGGCGGTCGGTATGCTGACGACGTCGTAACCTAATAATTTCCTCGAACACCGACTCTTGCAACGGCATTCTGTCAGTCTTTGAGAGTATGGTTTGTCAGCCATAATGCGAGCGCGATGATAGATGAATGAGGGGGGGGGGTGATATCGCAGCTGCGGTGGTACTAGCCGTAGTCGAAAGGCACAAGTCACGACGCTCCATGACGCGCGCGCGCCGCGGCGTCGAAAACTTATCTGACAAGTATCCATGCATTACGAGGCTACCGAATCGAGAACTAGAGAACATGGTGAGAATGTCGAGGCAACATGCATGTAGTCTACAGATTCGCCGTCGTGGAGAACATGGGGGAGAATGTGGAGAGAATGTCGTGGGAATCTGCACATTCTCCGCATGTTCTCTGATAAACTCGGGGCTGTGAAGACAAAGATTAGATCCGACTAGAGTCGAAGCAAGATCTTCAGTCAGTAAGGAAAGACTATATTGCAGTAACCAACTGTACCTAGAGTCGAAGCAAGACTACAAAGGTTAAGTAAGTAACTACAAGTTAGAGGTAAAGGTAATGAAGTACTCACTCTTCAGTCAGTAAGGAAAGACTGAAGAGGGAGGACGCAATCTGAAGTCCTTATATACTACAGAGAAGTGTCCATGACTAATCGAAGAGTGGTTAGTCACATGTACCATAGTGCGATGAATAATACGATGGTGAAAGAATTGCGACGTATCGCACCATAGGATGAGTAAGAGATGAGTAAGGCATAGACCTGTCTAGACCGTTCTGGAGTAGTACGGATTGT